GGGAGGCCGCGGTGGCGGCGGCGGCGGCGGCAGCTGCTCCCTCCGCATGTTCTCGCTGCATCTTCCGAGTGGGGGGAGTTATGGTAACTGGAGGGGGGCAGCAGAGGTCGGGAGGAGGGGGTCTTGGCATCTTCGTGGGGGCAGGGTGTTGGCACGCGTGGGGGTGGCTGGTGTGAGGGGGGGGGGTCTTGGAGCCCTGTTGGAGGGGCAGTCCTGGTGTTTGCGTGTGTGATCGTGACCGTGCTGGTGTCTCCGTGTGTCGGTGCCATGTGCACATGGGGCCCAGTTCCTCTTGCACACATGTGTAGCCAGCACTGTGCAGGTATGTCCTGTCTTGCCCTGCCTCTGACAGTGAAGAGCAAGAGGGCCTGCGGGACCAGCCACTGGTTTATGGGGCAGTTTGTGGACATACTGATTCATGTCACCTCTGACCCTGAGCGTGCATGTCCCTGGCTGAAGTGTGTAGGAATGTGTGGCTGGTCGAATGTGCAGAATTTTCAGTGTCCCTGGTGGCAGGTGTGTGTCTTTGCATGTGTGTTCCAGCCCTGGCCTGAGTATCTGTGTCAGTCCTCGCATGGGTGTCCAGGGCGTGTCTGGATGTGGGTGGTATGCCAGTGGTGGGGACAAAGTGTGTGAGTGGTTCCCTGTAGTCTGACTGCATGAGACACCTTAGGGATAGGCAGGGTGAGCCTCTGCCTGCTCCCAGATGGGGACAGGAAAGCCTGAAGGGAAGGAGTGGGGTGAAGAGAGAAAGTAAGGATGAGAAAGTCAAAAAGAGGAGAGCAAAGAGCCAGGAAGAAATGGAAATGTAAGAGAGCTGAGCTGGACTTAGAAAAGAGACTGGGCTTAATATAGGGAAGTGGGGAGGCAGATGAGGAGCCAGGTCTTTCTGTGAAGCAGTCGGCCAGGGTGGAGAGCCTAGGCTGGTGCAGGTCTGGAGGATCAGGCTTGGTTGTGGTGCAGGAGGCCATCCAGCCATAGAAGCTGGTGCCCAATGAGGCCTGTCACCACAGACTGCAGAGCATGCCCTCCCCTCAATTTCTCTATTCCCTCTCTAACCCTGCTCCTCATCTTTCTCTGGCTACCTTTCTCCCTGGCTCCCTTCCAGAACTGTCAGCTGGGTATGGGGAAGAAAGGCTACAGGGAAGGGTAGGGATCTGGGGGATTGGAGGGCAGGAGAAATGTTTGTGGGTGATGGCAAGATTAGAGACATTGGAGAGGCGGAGTCCAAGCCCTTGCTCTGTGTGTGAGTGTGTGTGCTTGCTTGCTTGCAATTGTGTGTGTATACAGGGTGTGTACTGTGTGGGTGTATGCACAATGCCTATGTTACGGGCCTGTGTAGGTGGCTGTTATGTGTGTGCATGAGTGTATATATCGTGCAGGGATGGGACATGGAGACCCAGCGTGGCAATGTATGCTTTTCAGGTTTGTGTGTGTACATGACTGTGTGCTGGTGGATTGTCACTGCAGGCAACACTAATGACAGGATATCCTGTGCTTCTGTCACTCAGCCCGCTTTCCTCTGTGCTTCTGCCTTTCTCTTCCTTGTGTCAGAGTCCTTGTGAGCACATGTGTGTGGCCTCCATGCTCCTGGGACTTGTTTCTGAGTTCTTAGCATTATGTGTGTTGCTTCCAGAAACTAAGCAAAGCAATTAGCAGATTATTTCCCCCTCTGTGAATGCATTTTGCTCCAAAAGAGAATTTCAGTGGATTTAAGCTTAAGGCTTTTCTGCCTTTAATAGAGATGCTTATGTGTGAAAGGAATGGCTGAGCTGGGCTCCCTGGAATGAGAGTAAGGCAGCCATACCTGAGAGATGAAGAGGATTGGATTAGGAGGGAGACAGGCTGGGCCCCTGGGTGCACTGCTTACTGTGTGACAGAAGGTTACTTAACACATTTGATCCTCATTTCTTGTTTTGTTTGTTCTGTTTTTCTCTTAGCCATCACAGATGCTGGTGTAGAGTCATGAGAGAGCTAGAAGGAAGCAGGGGGATGGGAGGCTGTCCAAAGACAGTGACTGTGGTTGTCCTTAGTGTGAGTTCTGAGTGTTTGTGCTTCAGGGGCATGGAGCTTCATTTATCTAACCGAGATCATGTGTGTACATGGTGCAGGGATGACACATGGGACCACAGTATACTTAAGCATGTGTCTCTGGGCTCATACTGGCATGCCCCTTCCTTTGGAACATGAATTGTTATAGGGTTACATGTCCCTTTATGTAGTGTATTGCCCACATCAGCAGTTCTCATATGGCTGACTGAGTTCAAGTATGTATACCCCTGTACAGTGCTCGCATATGTCTAAGCATGTGGGGTGTGTGGGCCTGGGGTCTCAATGTGGGTCCCTAGTGCCCCCATGCTCCAGGCTGTCTGTATGTCTCCGAAGCACAGAGTTCCCTCTTATTTCTCATACTGCAGCTGTGATATACACGTTATTACCTCTGTTTAGTGTGTGTTTTTGTGCTCTACACATGTTCCTGGGAGACTGAGCGGGTTCTCTTGTCTCGGGATCCAGACTTGTGTGTGCAGACCTGAGTTTGTCTATAAAAGGAGCAGGGACAGACTGGCTCTGAGGCAAAATGCAGTCTAGAAGCAGGCAGGAAAATGTAGTGTGGCTTTCACTGTTCTATTCTGGAACCTAGTGGGTTAACAGGCAGTTCTTCCGGTCGCCGCCACCCCCCCCCAAGCCTGTAGCTTCTTGTTGCCATGGAGATGGTGGCCCCGCCCCTGATGCAGCACCGGCCCCCCCATTGGCTGCAGTGGTGACTGGGGCTGAGGGGGGAGCCCAGGCCTGGGCAGCCATTCTGGAGCTGGAGCCGGAGCCTGGCATCCCCCCCACTTTCATTCTCCTTCAGCCCCTTATCCCCTCCAAATTCCCTAGCAGCAGACCTTCAGCTCCCTTCCACTAGACTCTTGGCAAGCTGAGCTTCATCCGCATTTACCTCCCCTCCTCCTCCTCACCAGCCTTTACTGGGGAGTCCCTAGAACCCCACTGCCCATCCTCCCCACTCCCCTGCCTTCTCCTCTTCAACCCTTCACTAGCACTGCAGTGCACGTGGAACCGGCTCCTTCGCCCCTACTTCCATCTGCCCCTTCCTCGGATTTTCTGTTCCCCTCTTCGCAGCACAGGTCTCTTCTGAGACCCCCCTCCAGTCCTGGGAGGGGGTCATGGGAGGCAGCCCTGGACCTCCAGATAGACAGGGGCTTGGGGAGGTGTGGGGCAGGTGGAGGATGTGCCCAGCTGAGAAAAGAGGAAAGCCCATCCTTGGGCAATGACCTTTAACCCATCTCCCCCGCAAGCAAGCCCCTTCTTTCTCTTGGGTGGGAGCCGGGGGACCGAGCCTACCTGGATCGTGGGTATTATTCATTACGGAGGTTTTACTGACTCTCCTCCTGACTATGCCCCTCTGCTGACTGTCAGCCCCAGTCATGGGCTTAAGGCCTCCCACCCCGACCCCATCAGGGGGCTCCGGCTCAGGTTCCTTGCCCCCTCCTTCCCACCGCCAGCCTCTCCGCCGCCGCTGCTCTTCTTGCTGCTTTCCGGGGGGTAGGTGAGGCCGAAGCTGAGGGACTGAGGGAGGTGGTGAATGTACTGACCCAGGATGGATATCGGGACTTAGAATCCCCTGTCCCCTTCCCCAACTTCCTTCGGGCCCTTTCCTCCCCTCTAGAATACCACTTGGGTCGCTCGAGGAGGAAGAGTGTCCCAGGGGGGAAGCAGTACAGCATGGAGGCCGCCCCCGCAGCGCCCTTCCGGCCCTCGGTGAGTGAATGGAAGTGCCTGCCAGATGTGGCCCAGCTGGGCCCCATCCCTTCCAGCCCCAGCTGGAGTCCCAGGATTCTGACAAAGGACCAAGGAAGAGTGTGCATGCATATCCCCACCTCTTTGGTTTACCCCTTCTAGGCTCTGCCCCCTACTTCTTAGACCAGCCCTCCCACCTTTTTCAAGCTAGTATGTGTGTTTGTGTTTGCTCACATCACACAGCATCCGTGGGAGCAAGAAGACAAACTGGTGTCAGGGCTCCTATCCCCTTCCCTGCTCCATGTTCTTCCAGGGATTCTCTGCCTGCTGAGGGGTGTCTAGAGAGACTCTGTACTGCCCCAGTCACCCTTATTCCCATTTGCTCCCCAGCAAGGCTTCCTGAGCCGGAGGCTAAAAAGCTCTATCAAACGTACAAAGTCACAACCCAAACTTGACCGGACCAGCAGCTTTCGTCAGATCCTGCCTCGCTTCCGAAGTGCTGACCATGACCGGTAGGTACCGGGCCTGAAATGAGATGGATGCGGTATAATGGTGTTGAGTGGGCTGGGGGATTCCCTGAGTACAGAGGTTGCGGGGGCTCATTTGGTTGGGGTGCAGAGGCATCAGAGAGGAGCTGGGCTAAGCTGTAGGTAGCAGGAAAGGGGAGGTGATGGGGAGGACCTGCAGAGGCAGGGAAGGAGGGGATCTTAGAGTGGAAGGAAGGGCAGCAGGTTAGAAATGGGTGAGGGGTAGCTGGTGTTGCTGCTGGGTGAGGGCTAGGGCTAAGAGACCCCAGTAGTCGTTGGAGGGAAGAACAACTGGAAGGGAGTTGGTCTGGTATGCAGGTAACAGAATGGAGGCAAAGGCTGGGGTTAATCAAGGGATGAGGAAGGAGACTGGCTGCTTGCCTTTGTCCTTCTCTGGGCTTCCCCTTAGTCCAGTTACTCCCTGGAGAGAGTCTGTCCTTCTTTTCCCTTGTGTCTGGCTGGCCCAGGGATTAGGCGGGTAGGAAGGTTGGGATCAGGTGAGTCACACCTTTCCCTGCCCCCACTTCCAAGTAACCAGTGCTGGATTTGGGGCTGGCAGGGGGTGAGGGCATGGTATTCCTGGCCGCGGGGGCGGGGGGCCGGGGGAGCGTGGTGCTGACGGCAGCCAGAGCCTGTGATGACGGGGCTGCTATAAATAACTTCATGGAGGCTCCCACACCCGAGCTCTCCCTCCTGTTTCCCCATGCTCCCTACTCTTTGTCCCCTATCCATTCCACACCACTTGCTATCCCGGCTCCCCTCATTCTAGTCCCTCGGTCCTATTTCTCTGTGCTCCCCTGCAGTGCTGTGTGCACTGCTGGCCTGGTCTCTGTCTTCTGCACAGTGCTGCTTGCTGCCTCTCCTCAGCCTCACTGCACCTGCTCTTGCTCCACGGCTGCTGTCTGCCTCCTCTTCCCAAATGTGCTCTCCCGTCTCTGACCTTTATTCTGCTCCATTCTGCCCACAGCATTCTCTTGTGCTTTTCTCTTCCCTGGGTTGTGCTAAAACTGTTCTCTTACTTCATTCATAGTTTGAATCATGAAATGTTTATTAGGCACTAGCTGTGTGCCAAGTCCAATCCAGACAATACTGCATTTTCTCTGTGCTTCTTTTCTTTATGTATTGAGATTCTGGTTTCTGGAGTCATGTAGACATGTCCAGGACATTTTTTTCCCTGTTTGTTTGTTTTTTTTGTTCTGTCCTGTTTTTTTGTTTTGTTTTTTGGGGGGGTCTGTTTTCCCTTTTTGGTTTTTCGGGACAAGGTTTCTCTGTGTAGCCCTGGCTGCCCTCAAACTCAGAGATACATCTGCCTCTGCCTCCCAAGTGCTGGGATTAAAGGCGTGCAACACCACCACCTGGCTTTTTGTTTGTTTGTTTGTTTTTGGTTTTGGTTTTTTTGAGACACTGTTTTTCTGTGTAGCCCTGATGTCCTGGAACTCACTCTGTAGACCAGACTGGCTTAGAACTCACAGAAATCCGCCTGCCTCTGCCTCCTGAGTGCTAGGGTTAAAGGTGTACGCTACTATGCCTGGCTTTGTTTCTTCTTTTAAAAAACAAGATCTCACTATGTAGCCCTGGCTAGCCGGCACTTGCTAGGTAGTCCAGGCTGGCCTCAAAATTAGCAGGAATCTACTATCTGCCTCTGTCTTGTGAGTGCTGTGGTTAAAGGTCTGTGCCATTATACCCAGCAATTCTGAATTATTTCTAGGTACCCCAACTCCTTAAGTATGAGTTGAAGTAGAGAAGTCTGTTGAAGGGCTTTGCTTTTTGTCCTTCCCCAGGGAGTTTGGTCTTCCTTCTGCGAGTCTGTGTGTGAAGGATTGAGGCCTTCTTTCTAAGGCTGCCTTCCAGAACCTCTGGTGAGGCAGAGTCCTGAGTGTGAGGGGAGATCTTTCTTGCCCTGATCTTTCTCTGAACCTCCTGCCCTCCAGGGCCCGGCTGATGCAAAGCTTTAAGGAGTCCCACTCCCATGAGTCCTTGCTGAGTCCTAGCAGTGCTGCTGAGGCCTTGGAGCTCAACTTAGATGAAGACTCCATCATCAAGCCGGTGCACAGCTCCATCCTGGGCCAGGAGTTCTGCTTTGAGGTAGCGGCTCTTGTGGACTGAGGAGGGTGGCGGGCAGGGATGGTGGAGGCTGGGGCAAAGGGGCCCACGACTAAGTGCCGCATATAGGAATATCCCAGAAACAAACCTGGGACTAGGAAGGAATACATGGTGGTCATTGTCTCTCTTTGAAACACCGTCTTAAATCCATACTCCGATCCAGGTAACAACATCGTCTGGAACAAAGTGCTTTGCCTGTCGGTCTGCAGCCGAAAGGGACAAATGGATTGAGAATCTACAGCGGGCAGTAAAACCCAACAAGGTACTAGAGAGGAAGGGGAAACAGGAGGCTGGTGGGGGGGGGTCTTGTAGGCTAAAGGATAGGGGCTTAGAAGGAGGGGACAGAGGTCTAAGAGACCTGGACAGCCAGGGGTGATTCTCCTTATTCTGAACCCTCCCTTTGGCTCCCTTTCTTCCTTACTGCTACCTTACACCACACTCTGCTTTTCTACAACGAAAGCCATAGATTTAGAGAGCCGACAGGGCTCTTCGAGTCCTCTGGTCTGGTTTCCCTGCAGATAGAAGGCCTCGCTCACACCTAACAGGTGCTTACCCAGCACCACTGACAGTGTTCTGTGTGAACGCTGATTCTCTTTATAAAGTCTGTGCAATATGGTTGACCTAGGTGACCTCAAGGTTCCGTTGACAGAGTCCCCGTGCATCTGTGCTCCAACCAAGTCTTCTGTTCCCCAAGGAAAAGCTGCCTTCCTGTCAGCTGGTCTCTGACCACAGTTTGTAGCCAGCTCACAGTCCTGCCGTCATCCTCTCGTTTCCCAGCACCTTTATTAAGGAATCCCACTTAAAGTGCTAGACACAATGTGAGCCACACTGCTTTCCACACATGGCCGTGTCACATGACCCTGACCAGGAGCTTGGTCAAGTCTCACTGCTCCTATGCGTATGCAACTGTTTTGCAACATATTCTGTTTTGCAACATCTGATGCTTCTGCAGGACTTCTCATTCCCACCTTTAGGTCTTCTTTACTAAAAAAAAATGTTGCTGGTTGTGGTAGCGCACACCATTAATCCCAGCACAGATGCAGGTCGATCTCTGTGAGTTCAGCCACTCTGGTCTACATAGTGAGTTCCTGGACAGCCAGAGCTATGGAGAGAGATTCTATTTAAAAAAAAAAAACCCAAATAAATGAAATAAAAACTGACATTTATTTATTTATATAGGGTGTGTTGTGGTGTGGGGGTGCCACAGTGCACATGTACATGTGCCAGAGTACAACTTTCTGAAAGTGGGTCTTCCTTCCACTGTGTTGTGGGTGCTCAAGCATTTCTCGACATTAACCCTGGTGTGTATGGCTACCCTTCTCTGATAGCTTCCAGGGCTGCTGTAAAAAGCCACCATGAACTGAGTCAGCTGAGACTATCCTCTCTCAGTTCAGGAGGTCTGAAGTCCAGACATAAGCAGGGCCGTGTCCATTCTCGAGCTCTTAAGTTCAGTCCTTCCATCTCTGCATGGCCAGCTTCCTTCTGGGTGTCTCTGAATGACCCTCTCCATGTGATAAAGTCAGTCACTGGATTAAGAGATCACATTAATCAAACATGCCCTCATCTTAATTATATTACATCTGCCAGGACCCTATTTCCACCTCAGGTCACCCTCAGTTTCTAGAGAGACCAGCCAGGGCCACCTGGTGAGGCTGTCTCAGAAACCAGAAACAAGGCAAAATAGAGTGCTGGCTGGTGGGCACTCTTTGGGCCCAGTGTGCTGGCTGGTGGGCACTACTCGGGCCCAGTGTGCTTGCCTCGCAGCTTCTACCCCAGTCCCACACCACATGCTCGCTGTCTCTCCTGCTGTGCTGACTTCTCCATTCTGTTTGCCCTAACCGCTTCCGCATGCCAGGACAACAGCCGCCGGGTAGATAACGTGTTGAAACTATGGATCATAGAAGCTCGAGAGCTGCCCCCCAAGAAGCGATATTACTGCGAGCTGTGCCTGGACGACATGCTGTATGCACGAACCACCTCCAAGCCCCGCTCAGCTTCAGGAGACACTGTCTTCTGGGGCGAGCATTTTGAGTTTAACAACCTGCCGGCTGTCCGGGCCCTACGACTGCATCTATACCGTGACTCAGACAAAAAACGAAAGAAAGACAAGGCAGGCTATGTTGGCCTGGTGACTGTACCCGTGGCCACCCTGGCTGGGCGCCACTTTACAGAGCAGTGGTACCCTGTGACCTTGCCAACAGGCAGTGGGGGCTCTGGGGGTATGGGCTCGGGAGGAGGAGGGGGGTCTGGGGGTGGCTCGGGGGGCAAGGGGAAAGGAGGCTGCCCTGCTGTAAGGCTGAAAGCCCGCTACCAGACAATGAGCATCCTGCCCATGGAGCTGTACAAGGAGTTTGCAGAGTATGTGACCAACCACTACCGGATGTTGTGTGCAGTCCTGGAGCCCGCCCTGAATGTCAAAGGCAAGGAGGAGGTTGCCAGTGCACTGGTTCACATACTGCAGAGTACAGGCAAGGCCAAGGTGAGTACTCTGCCCCCAGGGAAAGATGATGTGAGAATGGGTGCTGGTCCGGGGGTGGTGAAGGGAGAGCAGACCCAGGAGGCTGGGCTCTGCAGAGGCTGACTTTGGGGTTTTCCTGGCCCCAGGACTTCCTTTCAGACATGGCCATGTCAGAGGTAGACCGGTTCATGGAACGGGAACACCTCATATTCCGCGAGAACACGCTCGCCACTAAAGCCATAGAAGAGTATATGAGACTGATTGGTCAGAAATACCTCAAGGATGCCATTGGTATGGCCCACCATCAGGCCTTGTTCCTGAACCTCCTCATGCCCACCCCATCACTCCTAAACCTGGCCACCCCAGACCCCATATTCACCCTTCCTCGGAGCCCCAGGACCCCAGCCTCCAACCATCTGATTCTGCCATTCCTTCAACCCAGGGAGCCCCCCCCCCGTCCCTGCCCTTGGAAAGTGTGACCGCTCCCTGTCGTACCCCCTTTCCCAGGGGAGTTCATCCGTGCCCTGTACGAGTCTGAGGAAAACTGTGAAGTGGACCCCATCAAGTGCACAGCGTCCAGTCTGGCAGAGCACCAGGCCAACCTGCGGATGTGCTGTGAGTTGGCCCTGTGCAAGGTGGTCAACTCCCATTGGTGAGACTGGGAACGCTGGGCTGGGGGGCCAGGGTCGGGCAGTTGTGTGTTCATCTGTTCATCCATCTGTCCATCCTCAGAGGACTGAGCATCAGTACGGGCAAAGCATTCTGGGGTGTTGTAGAGCAGAGAGGTGAACGAGGCATGGTCCCTGACTTCAGAGGGCCTCCAGCCAAAATAAGTAGGGACATGAGATGTCCAAAAAGCCACAGAACCATTATAATGTGTGTTCAGGGAGGGTCCCTTGTGCAGCATCCAGTCAGAGAAGGCAAAGCTGTGACAAAATCACACACGAAAAGTGTCCAGGACTAGGTTTTGAAGACTGGGGACAGGTGCTGGCATCTACACACAGTAGGCTGATGACATTTTCCAGGGCTGTGAGATAACACACAGGATATGAGAAGGTGTGGGAGCCTTTCAGGAGATGGCTGGTAACTGGAACAGGCTTAGAAGAGCTGTGGCTATAGTGGAGGCCATAGGAAAGCGGTGTGCTTGGGGAAGAGTGAGACTCTGCAAAGCCTTAGATTCAGGAGTCGCAGTTATCCGAATGTTTTGGAGTGTCTGTTGGTACCAGGAAGTAGCATGATTGAGACTGGCCCATGAGTCAAGTGAGCCATATGGGAAGGGAAAGAAAGAAGTCCAGACCATTGGTGCTATGGTTGATGGGCAGGAGTGAAAACCAGACCTTGAATCAGGGTGGAGTCAGAAGGCTGAGAAAGAGACTGCTTAGGGTCCTCTACAGAAAGGATCAGCACTTGTCATCTGAGGGTTGTGTAGGGAGTCAGGATGACTTAGAGGGCATGAGACCCACAGCCTCATTGACAGAACCAGGGAAGTCAAAGGGAGCCAGCTGTCAGTGTGGGGGCGATAGTGAGCTCTATTTTACACTAGTCAAGTTTAAGGTGTCAGTGGGACATTGAAGTGGCACTGGGAGGCGGGGAAGAATGAGCTGAGCCATTCCAGGGACTGGGGATCATGCCTGGGGCACATCCATCCCCATTTCCCTGGAATCCAGAAGAGTTGGGGGGTCCGAGCTCCCTGTACCTCAAGTGACCCTCCATCTCTCTCCCATCTCTGTCTCTTCCCCGGTGTCTGTTTTTCTTCTCCTCCTCTCCTTGTCTCTCTCACACACCCCTCCGTCTTTCTCCCATGTGTCTCTCTCTCCTCACCCTCTCTCCCTCTCCATTTCTCTCTTCAGAATCTGTGCCCTCTACCATGGCCCTCTTCTTCAGCAGCCTCCTGTCTTTCTCCTGCAGTCCCTCCCTCCTGGTCTCTCTCACCTGTCTCCACACCCTCACCTCCTACCACCCCCTCAGCATGTTCCCTGGAAGCTGAGGGTCTCTGGGGCTCAGTCCCGGTCTCTCTTTCTCTCTCTCTCTCTCTGTCTCCCCACCCCTTCCCCCCAGCGTGTTCCCGAGGGAGCTGAAGGAGGTGTTTGCATCTTGGCGGTTGCGTTGTGCAGAGCGGGGCCGGGAGGACATTGCCGACAGGCTGATCAGCGCCTCGCTCTTCCTGCGCTTCCTCTGCCCAGCCATCATGTCGCCCAGTCTGTTTGGGCTTATGCAGGAGTACCCAGATGAGCAGACCTCACGAACCCTCACCCTCATCGCCAAGGTCATCCAGAACCTGGCCAACTTTTCCAAGTGAGGGAAACCTGAGGAAGGGTGGGGAAGAGCTATGCTTCTGGAAGGGTCTCCTGAGTCACCAGAGCATCTGTGCCTTTGAGCAGGTTTACCTCAAAGGAGGACTTCCTAGGCTTCATGAATGAGTTTCTGGAACTGGAGTGGGGCTCCATGCAGCAGTTCTTGTACGAGATATCCAACCTGGACACACTGACCAACAGCAGCAGTTTTGAGGGCTACATAGACTTGGGCCGCGAGCTCTCCACACTTCATGCCCTGCTCTGGGAGGTGCTGCCCCAGCTCAGCAAGGTTAGTGGCTGTCTCCTCTATCCTGCCCCCAGGCGCTTTCCTCTCTGCATAGAGCTGTTCCTGGAAACGCCACCACCACCATCTCCAGCACACTTCACACAACCTCTGCCTGTGCCCTCTGAGGCCCTTTTAGAACTGGACATTTACTCATCAGGTGACAGCCTTGTCCTTCCAGGAAGCCCTCCTGAAGCTGGGTCCACTGCCCCGGCTCCTCAATGACATCAGCACAGCCCTGAGGAACCCTAACATCCAAAGGCAGCCGAGCCGCCAGAGTGAACGGACTCGGCCTCAGCCCGTGGTGCTGCGAGGACCATCAGCCGAGATGCAGGGCTACATGATGCGGGACCTCAATAGGTGAGCACCCTGCTCCTTCTCTGCTGTGCTCTGGGAGCCTGATCGCTCCTGGATGCTTCTTGCGGGGCCCTAGATGCATCTCTCTAGACTTCAGAAGGGAAGCTGCAAGTTCTTAGGAACAGTGGTGAGGGTACAGGCAGTGGGAGGCTGAGAACTCTTCAGGGCCAGAGAGAGAGAAATGTATACCGAGCCAGAAATACTGCGGCTCCTCAGCTCCAGGCTTAGCTGAAGCCAAAGGGACTCTGCTGCAGCTGACTTGCTTTGTCCCTCTGCCAGCCCATGCTCCTGTAGGCTGCAGTTCAGCCATGTGGTACCAAAATACTCAGGTGTCTCTACGTGACCTAACAACCCCTGCCCCAGAGAACTCCCCATGACCCAGCATCCAGAGAAGCAACAGCTAGAGCTGAGTGGGCCCCGGAGCCTGGCATTCAGTTTGATGGGGGCGGGGCTGGGCCTCAGCTACTGTCCTTCATCTTGTGACTGCTCTGCTATTCCTCACCTGTGTCTCCATCTGTGACACCACACCGTCCCGCCATCCTCCCATCATCTCCACCTCTCTCCTTCTCCTGTCTGCTTGCCCCTTTGCATCTCTCTCCAGCTCCATCGACCTTCAGTCCTTCATGGCTCGAGGCCTCAACAGGTGAGGGCTCTTCTGTCCTCCCCACCCTCCTGTCCTGCTGCTTCTCCCACCTCTGCTCCTCTCCTCCTCAGTGCACCTCATCTCCTCCATGCCTGCCCAGACCAGCCCTCATTCCTCTCTTGCTGCCCCCACCTCCTTTTCCAGGCCTTACCCCTTTCCTAGGCCTGTCCTTTCCCTTCTCCAGCTTCCCCTCCCATCCTCCCTGCCTGCCTCTTTAGAGCTGCTACCACCAGCGCTCAGCCCTTCCCTGTGGGTCCCACTTCTCACCAGACCACAGGCTCGGGAGCCAGTAGTCCTAGCCTTACTTCTACCTGTGTGTGCCTTCCCTTCCAACAGCTCTATGGACATGGCTCGCCTCCCCTCCCCAACCAAGGAAAAGCCACCACCACCACCACCCGGTGGGGGTAAAGACCTGTTCTATGTGAGCCGGCCACCACTGGCCCGGTCATCCCCAGCATATTGCACAAGCAGCTCGGACATCACAGAGCCAGAGCAGAAGATGCTAAGTGTCAACAAGAGCGTATCCATGCTGGACCTTCAGGGTGATGGGCCTGGGGGCCGCCTTAACAGTAGTAGTGTTTCCAACCTGGCAGCTGTTGGGGACCTGCTGCACTCAAGCCAGGCCTCATTGACAGCAGCCTTAGGGCTGCGGCCTGCACCTGCCGGGCGCCTCTCCCAAGGGAGTGGCTCTTCCATCACAGCAGCCGGCATGCGCCTTAGCCAGATGGGTGTCACCACGGATGGTGTCCCTGCCCAGCAACTGCGCATTCCCCTCTCCTTCCAGAACCCTCTCTTCCACATGGCTGCTGATGGGCCAGGGCCCCCAGGGGGCCACGGAGGGGGCAGTGGTCATGGTCCACCTTCCTCACATCACCACCACCACCACCATCACCACCATCGAGGTGGAGAGCCCCCAGGAGACACCTTTGCCCCATTCCATGGCTATAGCAAGAGCGAGGACCTCTCTTCAGGGGTCCCTAAGCCCCCTGCTGCCTCCATCCTTCACAGCCACAGCTACAGTGATGAGTTTGGACCCTCTGGTACTGATTTCACCCGTCGGCAGCTCTCACTTCAGGACAACCTTCAGCACATGCTGTCCCCTCCCCAGATCACCATCGGTCCCCAGAGGCCAGCTCCCTCAGGGCCCGGAGGTGGGAGTGGTGGGGGCAGTGGTGGGGGTGGTGGGAGCCAGCCACCTCCTTTGCAGAGGGGGAAGTCTCAGCAGTTGACAGTGAGTGCTGCCCAGAAACCCCGGCCATCCAGCGGGAACCTACTGCAGTCCCCGGAGCCAAGTTATGGTCCTGCCCGTCCACGGCAACAGAGCCTCAGCAAAGAGGGCAGCATTGGGGGCAGCGGGGGCAGCGGTGGCGGAGGGGGTGGGGGGCTCAAGCCCTCCATCACGAAGCAGGTAGGTGAGGGTAAGGGGGAGGTAGGGTGGGTGGAGAGCAGCAAGGGAATGAAATGGGGGTTGGAATAGTGGGTGTTACAATTTTCTCACCTTCTCTGTTCTTTAAACAAATAAGTGGCATTTGGCCTGTATTCTCAGCAGTCAGGAGGCTAGGTACTGATACCGTGTCTCTAAACAAAAAGCTTACAAGCATGAGAGGGCCTCAGCAGTGTCCTGTGAGCTGTCCAGGTACTAAGGATGTAGATGATCAGTGGAGGACCCGACCCTCAGCACTCACTCCCAAGGGAGGCAGGATCAGTTACCCCATTAGTGCTCAGGGCAGAAGGAAAAAGGCAGGTACAGGTCTGGGTTGTACTTCTGTTTTCTTCCTCTGAGCACACCCTCCCTTTCCCACCTTCCTGCTCTCTGCCCTGCCTTGCTTATCTCAGCATTCCCAGACTCCATCCACGCTGAACCCCACAATGCCGGCTTCGGAGCGGACGGTCGCCTGGGTCTCCAATATGCCCCACCTGTCAGCTGACATCGAGAGTGCACACATCGAGCGGGAAGAGTACAAGCTCAAGGAGTACTCAAAATCAATGGATGAGAGCCGCCTGGACAGGGTACGCTGGCCTTGCCCTCTCAGTCCTGTTCCTCCTTTTTCATGCCAAGGAAGGCCTTTAGTCCTTCCAAGGGAAAAAGACCCATGCTCAGTTAGTTGGGGAAAAAGGAAAGATAGGCAGACCTCTTTTCTAGTCTGTTAGGTCCTTATGTATCAGTCTGTTTGTGGGTTACATACACTGTAGACTGGAGAGAACTGGTCTGTCTAACTGAAGGAGTAGGGCATGTAGGAAGAACACCACCCAAGCTAGACCTCGTAGCACAGGTCTGCCGACGGTTACTTAGAAGCTACAGCAAGAGATGTCAAGTTCAAGGCCAGCTTGGGCAACTTTATGATATGATACCCTATCTCAAAATAAATAGTAAAAAGTAAGCCGGGCAGTTTGGTGGCCTTTAATCTTAGCACTCAGAAGGCAGAGGCAGGTGCATCTCTGAGAGTTTGAGGCCAGCCTGGTCTACAGAGTGAGTACCAGGACAGGTTCCAAAGTTACAGATAAACCATAAAAAAAGAAAGCTGTGGAATACAGTTAGTAGTGGAATGTCTGCCTAGAGTGTATGAAACCCTGGTTATCAACAAGTCTACTCCTTCCCAAGGCAACATCCTAGGCCATGGATTCCTCTCTCCTGTGTGTCTAGAATGGAACTGCTTAGGTATGGACCTTCACAGGGTGGTAAAGCTTCTCAGATTGCCTTTCTTGTCCTTGCTTCAAAGGTGGAATCCTGGGAGGAAGGATCAGGCCTAGCACTAGACACCAGAGCTGGGAACATAACACTGCCTGAGCTAGTGGCTACCTATATGACACATGTTATTGTTGTAGTTCAGGAACTAAAATCTTAGAGTTATTTAACTTTTAAATAGCTATGTGTAAGTGAAGCTTTGGATTTGATCCCTAACACTGAAAATAATAAAACCAAAGAATTACATGTGACAATTACATTAAGCAATGGGAAAATGAAGTAACTGGTCTGAGCTCCTCTGACCCTGGAAACCCAGACTCATATGAATAGCAACATTTCCAGCCTGGGGTCCCCTTGGTCTCCTGTCTGCAAGAAAGGCAGGCCTAAGGAGGGAGTCACATATGAGACAGCCTGCCCTCACTCCCTGCCATGTCCTTAATCTTGGTTTGGAAATACAGTTCCTTTTTTTTTTTTTAAATTTCTAGATAATGCTTCTCAAAGACTGTCCAGTAGTCTTTCCAGGGTGCCCTATGGGCCCCCCATAACCCCCATGCATGTGTGAGGTCATGGCACACTTCTAAGATGTGGGACTTGGACCTTGTTGCATCTTGAGGAAGCCTCAGTTATCACATCAGGGCTTTCTTAAAAGCAGATTAAGTATGTTCAACAGGCAGAGAAAGGATTGGGTGCTCCTTGTGTCATGACTGAACAGACGGGGATGGGAGCAGGCTGGTAAAACCAGGGCAGGGTGCCCTCACAGTGCGGGGTCCTGTGCCCGGCGGGCAGGTGAAGGAGTACGAGGAGGAGATCCACTCACTGAAGGAGAGGCTGCACATGTCCAACCGGAAGCTGGAAGAGTATGAGCGGAGGCTGCTGTCGCAGGAGGAGCAGACAAGCAAGATCCTGATGCAATATCAAGCCCGCCTGGAGCAGAGTGAGAAGCGCCTGCGGCAGCAGCAAGTGGAAAAGGACTCACAGATCAAGAGCATCATTGGCAGGTGAGGGGCGGCCCGGGGAGGGGTGGGAAGGGGCTGAGGCTGGAGGGAGACGGACGTGGGAAAGCCTGCTTAAGACGTGGAACAATCCCTTGCCAAGCCCCAACACTGCTTACACACTAACTTCTGAAGTCCGGGGGAAAACACCAATTACTGTCTAACATCACTGTCTGGACTTAGTTTAGGCCTAGACTCCCTGTCCATTTTTCTTAATCCCACTGTGAGGTTCACCACAAAGCTAAGCAGTGATCCTTAGCCACAGGAGCCCTTAATCATTCCCATGTTCCTGAGCAGAGCTCCTTCTCCAGCTGTGGGAAGGGGTTCCGTGAGAAATGGGCTTTCAGCTTGTTACTCCTCCAAAGGAGCAGCCTTATGTTATTTATATGGAGGCCACTATAGCCAGAGCAGCTGCACTCTGATCTGCTGCGGATGCTGTTTTTGAGTGAGACTTAATTAGAAGAAAATGGTTACTCCACTGAAGCCATGGCTAGGACTGAGGAACAGTGGTTGGTTACAATGGCCTAGGGCACAGGAGGGATGGCTGAGCTGCAGATCTCTGTGACACAGACATCTGGCTGGGCATAGCTGTGCACACCTTTAATCCAAGCTTTCCAATGGATCTCTGTGAGTGTGAGGCCAACCTGGTCTCTACATAGAGAGTTCCAGGACAGCCTGGTCTACATAGAGAAACCCTGTCTCAAAAAACAAACAAAATGACACAAATCTAACCTCAGGATTCAGGAGTACCCATGTCCGTAATCCCAGCATTTAGGAGACAGAGGCAGGAGGATAACCTTGGCTACATAGTGCATTCTAGGCTTACTTGACTACAGTGTGAAACTCGTTTGAAAAAAACAATAGGGAGAGGTCAAATCTACTTTTAGGATTGGAGAAGTGACTAAGTAAAGAGGAAATGTTGCTCTTCCAGAGGATCTGAGTTAAATTTCTACCACCCACATTTGGTGGCTCCTAACTACCTAAAAATTCAGCTCCAGGGGCACCTGCAGTCATATGCACACACTCACGCAGATACATAGAAATAACAGAAATAGGTCGGGCAGTGGTGGCACAGACCTTTAATCCTAGCATGGAAGGAAGCAGGATCTCTGTGAGACCTGAGACCAGTCTGCCAGTCTGGCCTACATAGTGACCAGGATAGCCAGGGCTACACAGAAAAACCCTGTCTTGTAAAACAAAAAAAAAAAAAAAAAAAAAAAAGAAAAAAAAAAGTAATAATAATAAATAATAACAGTAGAAATAAGCTGGATAGGCTGGGCAGTGGTGGCGCACGCCTTTAATCCCAGCACTCGGGAAGCAGAGGCAGGCGAATCTCTGTGAGTTCGAGGCCAACCTGGTCTACAAGAGCTAGTTCCAGGACAGGCTCCAAGGCTACAGAGAAACCCTATCTCAAAAAACAAACAAAAAAAAAAAAAAAGAAAGAAAAGAAAAGAAATAAGCTGGGTATGGTGGTGTATGCCTTTAATTCTATTACTGGTGAGGCAGAAGCAGGCAGATCTCTGAGTTTAAAATTAGTTTCGGGCCAGTGAAAGCTACATAGTGAGGCGGTCCAAGAAACCAATAAATAAATGAATGAATAAATAAGTAGAAAAAAGTCCTTTAAAAGTCCCTCAGAAAGCAGGCATGAGGACTCCTGGGAGGAAGTGGAAAGCAAGGTTCCTGCGTGGCAGAGCATCTTCTGGGTCAAGAACTCTGCAAGGAGGGGAAACTGTCCAAGGCTCTTCCAGAGTTGCAAGGGTTCCCCAGGGTACTACAGGTGGGCTCTGAGCCCGTGCCCGCCACTAACCCCACTGAAGCCCGTCCCTTCAGGCTGATGCTGGTGGAGGAGGAGCTGCGTCGGGACCACCCCGCCATGGCTGAGCCGCTGCCTGAACCCAAGAAGAGGCTGCTCGACGCTCAGGTGGAAATTACAATGTCATTTATCTTCTCCGTGTCCCATCCCCATCCATCCCACTGTCTCTGTGCACTCACTGCACCAGCCACCCTGGCCCCACCACCATCTGTCTCCCGTGGTCCTGTCTGTCTACTGGCTGCTTCCTTGCAGCACCTCGTGATCATCTGCATCCCATTGTCTGCGCCTTTGTCACTCCCATGCCTTCCTGTCTTGTCTTCCCACTCTTGCCTGCATCCTAGGGCCTTCCACTAGAGCTTCAGCCTCTCAGCTCCCATCTTCTCCAATGCCCTTGAACTTGTACCTCTTACTAGCCCACTCCTGTCTGCTTCCTCAGCTCTTCTTCATCCAGGAAGGCTGAAGTTTTTACTGATAGAATGGAACATAGATAATCTGAGCTGTAGTTTCTCCAAGCTCTGGGTACCCTAGAGACTCAGGGTTCTCTTGACTCCCCATTCTGACTCTTTAGTAGATCCTATGTAGTTTCTTGCTCCTGACTCTTCAGATCATAAGGCCTCTCCCAGAAGCCCCTTTCCATAGTTCAAATTCTGCTTGCCTTTGGCCTCTGGTGTCCCTGTCACCACACTCTCTGCTCAGCTGCCAGCTTCCAGGCCCTCCGCACCCTTGCCCCTGCTCTTTCCTATTCATATTCCTCCTCCCTCTGCTCTGACCACCAGGACTCACTGCTCCTCCCCAACTAAGCCTCCTGACCCCATGACCCCACTCTCTCCCCCTGCAGCTCCTCATCAGGTAATTCTCCTGGTTCCGCTTTGACCACGGGCGGAGGACACTGGGGGAGGTGACTCCGGACCACTGCAGGTTGGTGGTGAAGCCCACCCCTCCCAACTCTCTGCAGCCTCTCCCCCCTCACTGCTGCCCACTACACCCAGAGATCCTCCACAGACCCCACCCTCCTGACACTTCCTGCACAGACAGACCCCTTCCCAAGGTACAGCCAGAGTGCACCTGTGGACACCCCCACACCCTTTGACGCCTTAGCAGTACCAAATTTGACCCTTACAAAGATCAAGCACATTTACAGTTTCCTTGGTTCTCTCCACACTGGCCCCACCAGCCACCTCCTGACACCATCCTCCCTTTCCTCTACCTATCCAGTGTCTGTCTGTCACCCCCCATTTCACCAGAGCGTCCTTGGGAGTTGGGCCGTTGGTGTGGGTGTAACAGGGTGGAGGGATATTGGGTTGGGGCCAGGCTAGGGGGCTGTACTGACTCCACATCAGGTAGGTGGGGTCTGCTCGGTCCTTCTTGATTCCTCCCCTCCCGCTCTCTCCCTTTGCTCTCCCTGCTCTTGTAAGGCAGAAGGCAGAATGGGAGCAGGTAGTTAATTTAGGGCGACACTAAGGGACCCTGGGAGATGCTGCTGAGATGTCCTGACATGTCAACAAGGTGGATGGCATATAACAGGCAGGAGTCCTGGACAGATGTCAGGCTGGGCATTTTCATGTGGCCTGTTACAGAAGTGAGGAGAAACAGCTTCCTAGAATGTATTCAAGGGCTCAGTAGCCATTTGTGGTCCCAGGCAGGGACACTAGGAACAGCATGTTAAAGAACCTCTCTTGTCAGAGCTTAAGTTCCTGAGTTGCTAATGCCACTCATTTTCCCTCTCCTGCGGCCCAGTAGCCTTTAGGACACACAATCCTACTGAGAAGCCAGTAACCGGGAAGCTGTCGGGCACACCTCAGTCCTGAGACGCACTCCTGTGGGACTCATTTGTGGTGGGCAGTGGCTCCTCTCTGTCAAAGTCGTTAGTGATCTGTAGACACTGAAAGACGCCAGGGAACCTCACCATTTAAAGGACTCCAGCAGTGAATTCTTTGTAAAATGAATAATGGGATCCTAACTTATCCAGTTTCTAAATGTGAGTCCATGAGGGCGTAGGGGGCATGCCCATGTGTCGTCATGAGCAGAGTGGGGGCATCTGAGGGTTCCTTCCCTGTTCTCCCCCTGCCTGCCCGTGAGATCCCCATAGCCATGAGCACAGCTTTGACTAAAGTTATATTCTGAGTGGCCCTGACCAGGTGAGTCTTTGGTTCTGGTATAGAGGACAACTGACCTTGGAAACCGTCATTTCCTGTGTCCTTTGGAGACAGGGTCAGATACAGGTAGCTACACGCTGCCCTACCTAAAGTCTGTGGCAGACAGTAACTTGTGTATTTGTTCCAAACCATTTGTAGGGTTTGGTCCCACTGCAGCCCAGCTAGGAAAAATAAAAATTAGTTTTGAGCTAGATTTTTAAAAGCCAACTAAGTATCCAGGAGTTTGGAGACCCAGGTGGTCTTCTCCCAGCAGAGGCACAGAAGGGTGGGTTGAGGGCAGGAACCAGGAAATGGGTCTTAGAGCCACCCAATGTTCTGAAAATAGATACAGGGGTGGCACAGGGTCTGCTGCTCAAGCCGGAAGCCCGCGGAGAGGAGCTGGAAAGGAGGAGGGTGGGAAGGAGTGGAGCTGCTATGTGACGTTTCTTAACCAGGGGTTCTCCACCTGTGGGGCGTGACCCCACATGACCCCTTCACGGGTCATACATCAGATATTTATAATTCATAACAGCAGCAAAATTAGTTATGACGTAGCAACATTAGTAATTTTATGGTTGGGGCCACCACATCATAAGGAACTGATAGGAAGGCTGAGAGACACTGCTCTAGACCCTTGTCATTCCTGCCGGCGTGAGGAGCTCCCGACCACTTCCCTGAACCCTCTCTAATTGGGGATGCTCTGTTTGAGAGGTCCACTCTGAGTAGCTGGCAGAACTGAGTGACAGTTGTCTGTTTAGTGAAGTGCCTGTCTTCAGAACACAGTAAGTAGAACCCTAAAGAAGGCCCTGCGCTGGCCTCAGGAGCACAGCTGAAGTCCAGCTGCTGCTGTAGCCAGGGCTCCGCCCACAGACACATTCCCAGGACTGCTCAGCTCACCCTTTCTTCTCAGATAAAGGAAAACTCAATACCTGGTTTTGTTCAAATTATGAGCAAACTTGCAAATCTGTAGGGGTTTGGACTAATGAGGTTTTACTGTACTGCCTCCTCTGGTTCCTCAGTGCTGAAGTTCCTGCCTGGGATGGAGGGGGCTGGGAGGGACTCCATGGAAGGGGACTTGGGGAGGAAACACAGTTCTTGAAGCAGAAGTTATGTCAGAGGGAAGGTGAGAGCTAGTTGCTTTTGAGCTGGTTTTCTGGTGTGAGCTCTCTCCCAGATCCCCCAAGACCCCTGGAGGTGCAAACAAAACTGGAGGCGGGTGGAATGGCTGTGGAGCACGCTGGCCGTGGGTGAAGAGCACTGCTTGGGGCTAGCATCCTTGCCCCGCGAAGCGTCTCAATAAGTCCGCGCTCTCCTCTTTGGTGTCTTGCAGGAGAGGCAGCTTCCCCCCTTGGGTCCAACAAACCCGCGTGTGACGCTGGCCCCACCTTGGAACGGCCTGGCCCCTCAAGCCCCACCCCCCCCACCCCGGCTGCAGATCACAGAGAACGGCGAGTTCCGAAACACCGCAGACCACTAGCCCACCCAGCATCACAGACCTCCTTCCTTGTGCACCCCACCCCGGAACATCACCAACCACCAGGACTGGACGTCACCGAGGGACAGCAGGATTGCCTCCCTTAATGCCTCCTTGAGGCACCCATCCGCCACCTCCACTGCACCATTTCTAGGAGGGAGAGTGGGACCCTTAGCTGCCCTCTTTCACCCCCAGGGACCTTCACCCCAGGACACCGCCTACCCCACCAACCCCTTCACTCCGGGGTGCTATCCCCACCCTCTGCCTCATAGTTCCCCTGAGCACTGGGGGACAGACCCTCACCCCCACACTGGGGGTGTGGCACCTCCAAACTTTCAACTTCAGGGTGATTTTTTTAGCAGTAACCAGAGCTGACAATCTAACTCCCCTCCACCACCCCATTTTGGCCTCCCCTGTCCCCCTTGTAATGGGGAGGGGACCCCAGGTGAAGGGGCCCTATTACCCCTTGATTTCTCAGGAGCGTCTGGGGGGGCTCAGCACGCACAAACTCCTTCTCCTCTTTCCACTCTTACATTTACTCTCCCCACCCAGAACCCAGATGGGGTGGAGGGGGCCACCGGGGCAGGGAGGGGGCGGCAAGGGGGGAATGGGAGTTGCCTCCCCTTCTTCCCACACCTGATCTGCTCTTGGCTGGTCCCAGAGCGGGGTGAGGGGGCTTATGCCCTCCCCTCCCCCAGTGTGTTGGGTGGGGTGGAACTGAGGTTCGGATGAAGGGTTAGGGTTTAGGGGCCTTGTGTGTTGGGTTGTGGAGGACAGACCAGCTGATCTGCCCTACCCTGACACACAGCCAGCCCCTACCCTTGCCCTCTTTGTCTCTACTCCCATGGGGAGGGGGGAATTTACTCTAGGAAAAGCCATGTCTCTCTCCCCCAGGGTGGGGGACCTGTGTTGGAGGATGGGTGTTTGGGGGCCCCCTTCCATGACTCTGTCCCCTGGGGAGGTAGGACAGGGCTGGGTTTCCCTCTCACCCTCCCCCCTCACCCAGTCTCCCTCCCTCCCGCCAGCTCCACGATTTTTCGGTGTTTCTCTGTACATAGCTCTCTGGCGGGATAGGGGAGGTAGGATGGATGGGGTTTGGGGTGGGTAGGCCATGGAAGGGGAGAAATCCTTCCTGGGTACCCCCTCTTCTCTGACTGCTGACCCTTGCCCAGACTTGTCTCCTCACCCCTTCTTGCGTTTGGTATTGAGAATTCCTCCCAGACTCCAGACTCGACCTTTTGTATGGACAGCTCTCCTTCAGTCTTACCCTCTACACATCCACCCAGCCGGGGCCAAATTTATACTTATATAAAAGTTGTAAATATGTGAAATTTTATCCCGCGCCCTTTCCTCTGCTTACCCCACTTCAGGCCCTACCCTTTTACCTCCTTCCTTCTCTTTGGCTGTTGTAATTATCTGGGGTTTGTACTGTACATAACCGGGGTGGGGACTGGGAGGCGACCCCTCTGTACAGAGCTTCCTGGCTCCCTAGCCCGCCCCTCACTTCTCTCCCCACCCACCACCTTAAGAGTAGGGAGCTGCTCTTCTTACTCGTTTTTTTTTTGTTTGTTTGTTTACTTGTTCTCCTTACCTCCCCTGCTCCCAGCCCTGCCACACCCCCCTTTTCTCCCACTCCCATTTCCTTTTTTTCTGGAGTGTGTGGTGAAACAGAAAAATCATGTTTAATAAACGGAGATTGTTCTTTTATCGCTTGGCTGACCTTTATTTTATTTATTAGTTGGTTTTTCGAGACAGTTTCCCTGGCTGTCCGGGAACTCGCGCTGTAGACCAGGCTGGTCTCGAACTCAGAGATCATCCTGCCTCTGCCTCCCGAGTGCTGGGACTGAAGGCGTGCGCCACTTGGCCCAGCACTGGGCTGACATTTTAGTCTGAAGTCCCAAGGAGGGGGTGACAGGAACTACTTTTGGGGAGAAAGCTGCCAGCCTGCAATCAGTGCTACACTGTCCCACCCAGTCAGGAGAACAATCTACACCGCAGCGTCGTCCTGGCCGAACCTCCACTCCCGCTCGCCACTCGCCGCGAAGGCGCTGAGGCTCTCTGAAAGGGCCCAAGTGAACAGTCTTCCCAAACTCTCTCCATGCAGGGTTTAACGGCTAGGACGCGCCTCTGCGAAATGGAGGAAAGGATCAGGGTGCTCAGTGTGGGGACGCTCCAGACTTCCGATCTGGCTACCCCGCGTGCACACCGGGGACGGCAGCACCTATCTCGCGCGGCGGGAGGGAAGATCCACCCCGCGCTGCCGAACCCATCGCGCCCCTCACCGCGGCCCGGTGCCCGCGGACCGGCCGTCCACCTCCACCGCTCCTCCG